TTTTCTTATTCTTACTTATTCTATGAGCAATTAAAGTTATCTTCAAAAAAGAGTTATAAAGAATGCAAGGTTTTTGGAGCAAAAGTATTTAGTGCCATAACCCAAGTGTTGAAAAGAAATAAGTTTGGGGGTATTGGTAACTAATCAAAAGAGGTAATGAAGTGTGACCAATGTAGTCACGGCCCTAGGGTGTTATAAAAGAGAAGATCATGGTGATCTAGGGTAAAGAGCCACAAAATTAGGCCAAATAAACAGATATGAAGGTGTTGAAATTATGTTGAAAATCTGCTCATGTATGTGTTCCTTGCTTGTTACAAAGTTCAGTAATCTCTTATGCTCTTACCTATGCTTTAATTATGCTCAAAATATTGTATATCTCATATCCCTTCTTTCATTCAACCACTACCCTAAACCTCATTACTACCCTTGTAAAGTCCTTTTGATCCTTGGTGTTGCATGGTATTATGTGGAGAGAAGATTGGATAATGAGCTTATGGGATTCGGAATTTTTGATTTTGCTCTAAGTGTGTGCGCATGTACTTATTTGAGTTGCAGGTGTTGTTCTGATTTGGCTTTCACACACTACACTTAAGGATGTCATTGTGAGCCTTGGTTACCCATGAATCATGTGTGGAACTTAGGTTGTGATTGTTGTGTTTCTTTGGAACCATATATTTCGGTGATTCTTTGAGGATATTGTTTGGAAGGCTAGCAGCTTATTTCCTGTTTTCTAAATCGTATTTTTCCTTTGTTTTGCTCGAGGACTAGCAAAATCTAAGTTTGGGAGTATTTGATAAGGTCATAATTTCACACATTTGCATGCCTTCTTTGCTTAGTAATTTTGTTTAGCTTCTCTTTATTTTGAGTCTCTTATCTATGTTTGTGTGTTTTGTAGGTTTAGACAGCAAGGGGATGACATTTGGTACAATTCATGCATGTTGAGGGCTGAGTGGCACAAGAGGAATATGAGCTTAAAGACAACCAATTTGAGCCACACTCCTTATCAGTCCAGTTTCATCGGGCATCTTACTGGCTTTATGACAGCAACTTACACAGGTCGGATGAGGAGACATCCTTGATAGAAGTTGTTCCAATGGGTGTCTATTATAACATATCCAAATTTCAGCCCGATTGGATAAATCTGGAGCCCTCAGAACGTCAATGACTGAACCAAGTTCACAGAAATATCATGTTGGTTGCCATCACATTTAATGTGGCTACATCCCTGGAGCCATGTGCAGCCATACATGGGAGTTAAATTAGCTCAGGAACTCAGAAGGATGAACAAAAGTCAAGCTTTCCATAAAGAAACCATACCAAAGCATGTATTTGGCAGCTAGAGCAGTTGGCAAGTATGTCAGTTGGAGCAGTTGGCAAGTATGGGCAGCTGGAGCAGCTGGGAGCAGCTAAGAGAGGTGTGCTTCACCACCCAAAGGGGAGGACAAAATTGCACTCTATAAATAGAGAGCTGCACACTCATTCAAGGGAGTCAGATACACATTTTCACTTCATCCATTACTCTCATACACACATTCAGATTCACCACAAAGAAAGAAAAAAGCTTGGAGTTGTCCTGGGAACTACATTGCTGCCATCTAGTTCTTCTCTTCTCTTTATTCTATCTATGTATTTCTTGTTTTCTTTATTCATAGTTATGTCTAACTAATCCATTTCGTTAGGGCTTAGGATGAAGCCCTAGTCATGAATATTCAATGTTATGGATGATTTTATAGTTAATTGATTTCCTTGCTTTCATTATCAAGTTGTTAATCTCCAGTTTATTATGTGCTTGATATATGTTTTCTTGGAGTAGCTAACTAGGATTTTATGCATCTAGCACAGGTTGGGAAGGAGTTTAGATTCATCAATTCTACTCTCCTTTCACAAGCAACACATGAATGGCCTAAGAATCATTAAAGGGGTTAATAACCATAGGTTGACTAGGACAGATACCATGTTCTAGGACTTGTGTGATTATCATATTCTCATGGAGCTTAATGACTCTTGTATGCTTTATTCTAAGTAGATACCATTCTAAGTAGATACCATGCTTAGGTTGCATATTCGAGATCACGTGTTGTGTAGATACCATGCACGATTACATGCCTTAGGAGAATCATGCATCCTGCACCTAGATACCATAGGCTTGTATGCGATAATCTATTGTTGATGAAGCTTCAGTCAATTTCTATGCATTCATAAGTTGGATAGGAAAACTAGTGGTGGATTCCAAGGCTCTAACACCACTCAATTATTGTTTCACAATCTGTCTAGTGTTTACTTTGGAGCACTTTCATTTCACTTTCTTCTTTTCATTTCAACAACAAAACCCCCCATTTCGAGTGTGTGTGTGGTGCTAGGATTCCGTCCTAGACCTGTTTGTGCCTAATAAATCACGGTCGTCAGAAGGGACCTCTTCTCGGCCGTGGCATCTGTTCATGGACTAAAACGGCCACGTTTCTTCAGACATTTAGCCTTTTCGAAAGCAGAAGAAAAACACGAAGCCGGGATCTTCTCGGCCTCACAACCACGGCATTATGGGCCGAGGCCGAGGTCCATGAAAGACACTGCCAAAGATACTATGGTCAAATCGTCATGTGGCCTCAGGGTCCCACGCCCCATTTAATGAAGTAGTGCCTCTGACCACCGCAGCAAAACCATTGGGTGCAAGAAGCATTTAATGCACAAGGGAAGTGACTGAAGTCAGGATTTGGTGATGGAAATCAAGGTGGTTAGGCACAGACATTCTCACAAGTAATCTTGCGACTTGAGGTCAGATCTCAACCACCAGTCTAGGGCATTAAATGCGTTCCCACGGCCAAGGGGGCAAAACCCACGATCAGGGCGGTGGCCGAGATTTGCCGAGATTTATGGGGGTCACACCACCATGCTTCTCAACCCCAGACCACCATGCTTCACGATCCCAAATGCCGATTTGACTATCCACTTGCCCGGCCAGGCTCCACCACGCAGGTCTTGTCAGCCTCGAATGTCCTTCCAAGACTCCTATAAATACCAAGCTCAGGACTACATTCAAAGGGTTCAAACACCAAACGAAAAGCCTCCCACGGAGCAACTTATATTTTTTGTAATGCACTTTCAATACCTTTATTTGCTTTCTTAGGAGTAGTGGTAGACTGTAAGGAAAATCCATTCATCAATATATCATACGACCCTTGATTTTCAAGGCGCCGGAGCACCACCCTTGTTATCACCTCACTCACCCGATATATCATACGATCGTCGCTCTCTGAGCAACGCGCCGGAGCACCGCCTATAAACCCACTACCAACACCACCACTAAACGGCCTTGTAGCTCAGGCCGTGAACCTGACGGCCGAGATTCGTTCCTCACTACGTCACAATCGTTTGATTAGGAGTCGAACGCAAAACAGGCACAACATTTAAACCATCTTCTACTCGAACCTCATCATCACCTCGACCCACGGTAGACCGTGCTAGCATGCCCACGCACAACCGCACCGTATTCAAAAGGAGGACGTCACGTGTTGACGCACATCCCCTCGGCCGGAGCACCAGGCCGCGAGATTTGCGATGGACCAACCGCACCGTATTCAAAAGGAGGACGCCAGTTTCTTTGTTCTATGTTTTTCTAGCATTCTAAGTAATTTAACTTGGAACCAGTTACCAATCTTCGTGGGATCGACTCGTATTTACATAAGCTATACTATAAACGGTTCGTGCACTTACGAGAATTAAAGTTGCTGTTTTTAATAGGCTCAACAAGTTTCGGCGCCGTTGCCGGGGAATCGGTAACGATGGTGCTATAGTTAGATTACTTTGATTGTTTTTTTTTTTTTTTTTTGTTTCATTTGTTTCTGTTCGTTGGTTTTTCTTTTAGTCTTCAGTTTTTGTATTTAGTTGTTATCTCCATTGAATGCACTGAATTGAGTTCCTTGGTGTGTGCATGTCCGAATCTGACCAGGAGCAAAGTTCACCTAAGCCACTTTCACCAAGAACCGCAGCTGTACGTGCTGGTTTGAGGAGGAATTATAGTTCTTCAAGCACTAAATCTAAGAGTTACAAATATGAAGGTTCAAGCAAGATGGCAGAGATTCCAAACAACAACAACAATGATGAAGGAGGTGGTACACTTGTTGTCCAACCTCGAAAACCCCTGCGTGAGTTTTCCATTCCCAAAGTCACCGATCAACCTTCGTGCATCGTCTGTCCTTAACTCACAGTTGAGAGGTTTGAGCTTAAAAGTGGTATGATTTATCTTCTTCCAACTTATTATGGTAATACCACTGAGGATCCTTACATGCATATTAAGCAATTCTTTGAAATATGTGCTACGATCAAAATTCATGGCCTTGATGATGAGCAGATTAAGATGAGGCTATTCCCATTCAGTTTAAAAGATAAGGCTAAGTCTTGGTTATACTCTTTGCCTAATGCTTCAATTCGTACTTGGGATGAGCTTTCTAATAAGTTTTTGCAGAAATTCTTTCCGGCTCAAAAGATTAACAAGATTAAAAAGGAAATCCTTGGTTTCACACAAATGGAAGGAGAAGCTTTTCATGAATGTTAGGAGAGGTACAAGGAGATGATAAGTTCTTTCCCACACCACAATATAGAGAGTTAGATGCAAATGCAATCTTTTTATGAAGGTTTGCTTGATTCCGAAAAGATGATGGTAGATGCAACAAGTGGAGAAGGACTGATGAACAAAATAGCAGATGAGGCTTTTACTCTCTTTGAATCATTGAGTGCTAACTCTCAACAATGGAGCCACAATAAAGGAAGATGAGCTCCTATGAAAGCTGTGGTCTCTGAGGTAAGTACTAATAATGAGATTGCTGTAAAAACTTGATGTTATGTGTTCTTTGCTTCAACAGATAGTGACTGGCCCTCTAGGAAACAAAGTGGAAGTTCAAGATTAATCTTTTCCAAAGCACATGCTAGAACAAGCAAATGACCTTCAAGCAAGGAATCCTAATAATGATCCTCACTCAAACACGTACAATTTGGGGTGGAGAAATCATCCTAATTTCAAGTGGAGCAATAACTCAAATGTGCAACAATCTCAAGGACCTCCCCCACGATTTCAAATGCAACAAAGGCAATTCCAGAAAACTCCCCAACGAGTGCAAGATCAAAGGGGTGACCAAATGGGAGAATTGCAAGACATGTTCAAGAATTTCATGGGGCAACAGATGCAAACCAATCAAAATCTTCAAAATGCAGTGAACAAGCTAGAAGTGCAAGTTGGGCAGATTGCATCCTCCTTGAGCAATAGAGCATCCGAAACTTTTCCAAGCCAAATGGAGGTGAATCCAAGGCATCAAGAGCATGCTAAAGCAGTACACATCTTGAGAAGTGGTAAACAAGTTGATAATATGGTTGGAGATGCCAATGAAGAGCAAGAAGATGGAGAAAATGTGGAGATCATTCAACCACCACATGGGCAGCCTACAACTACAAACAAACAGTCCCTCAATCCTTTTGGAAAGAGCACAAACCCTAAGGTATCATCTAATGCTAATCAAGTTCCAATTTCAACTAATGCTTTTGGGCCTATTGCACCCTTTCCCAGTAGGTTATCAAAGTCAAATAAAGATCAAGGCTTAGATGAGATAATGGAAACATTCAAGAAAGTGAAAATCAACATCCCATTGCTCAATGCCATTGCTCAGATTCCAAAGTATGCAAAATTTTTGAAGGATCTATGCACTAACAAGAGGAGATTCAAAGAGCATGAACAAGTTGCATTGAGTGAAGAGGTAAGTGCAGTGTTACAAAGAAAGCTTCCTCCAAAGCTAAAGGATCCAGGTTCGTTTTCTATACCTTGCGTAGTTGGTGATTTTAAGTTTCAAAAAGCTTTGCTTGATCTTGGTGCTTCTATAAACCTTATGCCATATCATGTTTATGAGAAACTTAACCTTGGTGAGTTGCAAGCCACATCTGTGAGCATTCAACTGGTAGATAGAACTATTAGGCACCCTAAGCGCATTCTAGAAGATGTTTTTGTGAAAGTGGAAGAGCTAATTTTGCCAGCAGATTTCTTGGTGTTGGAAATGGAAGGAGCACCAATTCATGACAGTCAGTTACCACTCATTCTAGGTCGGTCATTCATGAAAACTGTCGGTACTATTATTGATGTGTAGAAGGGTACATTGACCATGAATGTGTTTGATGAGATAATAACATTCAAAGTGTTTGAAGCCTCCAAGTTTCCAAGTGATAAGCATGAAGTTTTCCAGCTTGATGCAATTGATACTATGGTGAAAGAAGCACTGCCAATTAGTTATTTGGAGCCCATTGAAGCATGCATCACACAAAGCATAAGGAAAGAAGAAGTGGACAGCTTAGAGGCTGTGATCTCTCCTTTACTTTTTGAGCTTGTTTGCAGCATGGATAGCTACATAGAAGTTGGAAAGAGGTATGCATACCAATTTGAATCATTACCCCCACCTACTAATAAGGTTTTACCTTCTATTGTGCAGGCACCAGAGTTGGAATTAAAGCAATTGCCAAAACACCTTAAATATGCTTATTTAGGTGAAAAGGAGACTCTACCTCTTATCATTGCCTCACACCTCGAACCAAATGATGAGAAGAACTTTTGAGAGTTCTAAAAGAGCACAAAACTGCAATTGGGTGGAGCATTGCAGATATCAAAGGCATAAGTCCAACACTAAGCATGCACAAGATATTATTGGAAGACAATGCAATGGCTAAGAGGGATGCCCAAAGACGTCTCAATCCAAACATGAAGAAGGTGGTAAGAAAAGAGGTAATGAAGCTTTTAGATGTTGGTATTATTTACCCTATTTCTGACAGTAAATGGGTGAGCCTAGTGTAAGTTGTCCCCAAAAAGTCAGGTATCACAGTGGTGAAGAATGAAGCAAATGAGCTTGTACCTACACGAATGACCACAGGCTGGAGAGTTTGCATTGATTATAGGAAGCTCAACACAGCAACAAGCAAAGATCACTTCCCTCTTCCATTCATTGATCAGATGCGTGAGAGATTGGCTAGATGGATATTCAGGCTACAACCAAATCGCCATAGCCCCAGAGGATCAAGAGAAGACGACCTTCACATGTCCCTTTGGCACTTTCGCTTATAGGAGGATGCCTTTTGGTCTCTGTAACGCCCCAGCCACTTTTCAAAGGTGCATGATGAGCATTTTCTCCGACATGGTAGAAAGGTTCATTGAGGTATTCATGGATGACTTCTCTGTCTTTGGTGATTCTTTTGATCAATGCTTGCATAACTTATCCAAGGTGTTAGCTAGATGTGAACAGACTAACCTTGTGCTTAATTGGGAAAAATGTCATTTTATGGTTAACCAAGGCATAGTTCTTGGTCATGTCATCTCTAGTAAAGGAATCGAGGTAGATAAAGCTAAGATTGATTTGATTGCCTCCATGCCGTCACCTACTTCTGTCAAAGAAGTAAGTTCTTTCCTTGGCCATGCAGGTTTCTATAGGCGTTTCATTAAGGATTTTTCTAAGATTACAGGACCTTTGTGCAATCTCCTTGCCAAAGACATGGATTTTGTGTTTGATCAAGACTGTGAAAATGCTTTCAATGCTTTGAAGAAGATGCTCACAACTGCCCCAATCATTATACCACTGGATTGGAGCTTGCCTTTTGAATTGATGTGTGACGCCTCTGATTATGCCGTTGGAGCTGTTTTGGGACAGCGAGTTGATAAGAAGCCACATGCCATCTACTATGCTAGTAGAACCCTCAGCAATGCCCAACTCAACTATTCCACCACAAAGAAGGAGTTATTAGCTGTCATATTTCCTTTAGAGAAGTTCAGATCATATTTGATTGCTAACAAGGTTATTGTTTACACTGATCATGTAGCATTGAAATACTTGTTAGCCAAGAAGGATGCCAAGCCATGACTCATTAGATGGATTCTCTTGTTGCAAGAGTTTGACTTGGAGATAAAAGATACGAAAGGAAGTGCGAATGTCGTGGCTGATCACTTGAGTAGATTGTTGTATGTATCTAACGAAGAGGAGGATTCATTGCCATTGCTTGAAAGCTTCCCCGATGAGCAACTCTTCTCTATTTGTGCTTTGAATTCTCTCAATCCATTGCCTTGGTTTGCTGATATTGTTAACTATTTGTGCACTAATGAACTCGCTATAGGGTTATCTACGTTCCAACGTGACAAGCTTAGGAAGCAAGCACTACTACAAAAAGTGAAAAAGACGACCAGAAAAACACGACGGTCTAAGTGAAAACCGTCGTTGTTTTTTAAAAGACGACGGTTTTATAAAACCGCCGTGTAATAACACATTAGACAACTAAAAAATGGAGTTTCAAATGGCTGTTCATAAAACACGACGTACTTAATTTAAAAACCGACGTCTTATTGAAATAGGATTTTCAAGAGGTAAAATCGAAGCCAACAAATAACGGCGGAAGTTATGAACCGACCGACGTAGAAAGTAAAGACGACGGTTTCAAAAAAAGCCGTCGTTTTTACCCGGAAATTAACACGACCAAGTTTTCGTATAAGGCGCCGTATAATTACAAATAAATCCACGGCGGTAAAATAAAAAATCCCGCCGTATTAAATTAATGTACAACTACGGCAAAGGTAAATATAACGACGTCTTTCTCGTATTTCTACGACGACATCTTTAA